AGATCAGCTCCACAGAGCAAGGCTGTTAACAGTGTAAGTCATTGCTTTTCCCCAAATGGTTCCCAAACACTTGGACAACCCAGTAGCCTATATTCCACTGCAGAACGGAATCGGAAAGGTCTATTCAGGGTCTCTAGGCCAGAGTAGTTCAAAGTCACACTTCAAGATTTTTCTACTAATTCAGTCTTTCTTCTCTGGTCACAAGACACAAGCTTTCCAACACACAACATGCTAACAACATTTTCAACAACATTTCTTGAGATCATAAATACATGTCTTGAGTGCTCAGTATGTGCCAGGCATAGCTAAGAGTTTTACGTGTAGTCACTCATTTACTCTGCATCTGTACGGGACATAAACTACTACTACTACCGCTGTTTAGCAGATAAGGAAAGTGAGACACAATGGTCTTTTGTAAAGTGGCTGAAGTCATATAGCGAGTAGGCTTTGGAGCCCAGGTTGGAATTTAAGGAACCTAACTCTAGAGACGCACTTCTTGACCATTTTGCTAATCTGCTTCCCTGCCTAGGAGTTTAACTTGATCTTTCATTCCAATTTACAAGTATTTGTTAACTTCAATTTGTAGGTGAGGAAACGGAGGTGAGAGAGATTAAGTGACTTGCCTCAGGTCACAGAGCTAGTGGCGGCAGGGCTGGAGCTGGCACACAAATCATTACCTCCTTGATTTCTTAATTTGACATCCTCATTTTACCTAAACTAAGATGATTTTATCATCTTGAGGGAGAGAACAAAAGGGAGGTAGCGGTCGGGCAGTATTTACTGAGCTCTTTCTAAGCATCAAGGCACCTGCTAGGCACTCTATATTCAACTTTCATTTATTCAAGCAACAACCAGGTGAGGCGGGAGTTATTGCTTCCACTTTTCAAATGAGAAAACAGAGGCTTCAAGAAGTCAGGGAGACCTGCCCAAGTTCACCTAGGTAGCAAGTGATGGAAATGGTCTAGATCCTATCTGTGTGGATGTGACACCCAGGTGCCGCTACCGAGAATTAATAGTGGGCTCACCCCTTGCAGGTGTGGATTTTATTCTGTACCCGCTTCTACCAGGTCCTCAATAGGATTCAGGAGGGAGATGGGTCTTGGAGCAACACAAGGGATCTTTTCCCATCATCCCCTCACAAGGGGCCTGGCGACAATGATTTAAATCGAATTTGTAAGCAGTTTCCCCAAGGCCCTGGGTCAAATGGCTTCTGATGTTCTGGGAAGATTCCTCCCCCTGATTCTATTCCCTGACTCCTCTCCCCTGGGCCCAGCAATGAGAAGCTTCACAATTTATTTAAAGGTCATCCCCTAGAGAAAACAACTTCTAAACCTTGGCTTGAAATTGCTAGGTAAGCATATTTTAGGCACAATGCATGTGTTAAATTATTTCTCAAGTATTTGGGGTTAAATCCAGCAACAGAAGCTTCTCACTAGAACCCTTCCCCCTCTGACTTTGAAATATGTGTGTACAGCAGAGAAATTTTTCTGGTTTTGATGCCCTTATACAAAGTGTCAACAGACTGTATCTTTCTTCACAGCTCTTTGATGCCCTTGAAGGGGTTTTCTTCCTTGAACAAGAAGCCGCAACTCCAAATGTGTTTAAAACAGAAGCCCCTGAACATTTGAAGTTCAGTTCAGAATGCCTAAGCAGAAACTTGGCAAGAAGTCCTAACTTAAATAAGGAAAAAAGAAAAAAAATCCTTCTTCCATCCATGAAGTATCAAATGTGTATTTCCCAATACAAAGCAGACTTTTCACATCCACGTCTTGCTGGTCTACCATGCTATTATTCACTGCTTTTTCTTCCCCACACCCTCCACAGAACTTAGACTTTTCGACTCATTTCAAGACCATTTGGAGGTATTGCTTTCATCTCAAATTCAACAAGACCAAGTCTTAACCTCAACTCTTTTCTCTACCCAGTGCCCTTTGCTTTTTTTCTTTGTTTCTGCCAACAACCCCTGTTACACGGGCTCAAAACACAGACAGTGAGTCCCTCGAGGACAGGAAGCCTGTCTTAATTTATCCATATATGCTTCGTACCCACGCACTGCTGGTACCCAGAAAATGCTCAACCAATACTTGCTCAATGAACAGATTTAGAAGTCTTCTCTTCCCTCTCCTTCACCCATGCATCTTATCTCTTCAAAGCCCTTGCCACTTCTGTTTCACAGTAACCCAAGGGCCAAATACGATCCATCTGATCAGGGTGCAGCCTGTTGAAGAAAACCAAAAAACCAGCCTCTGCCAACAACAAAAAAACCCCCAAAACAAAAGCACATAAAATCAGCCAGAAATAGAAACTAAGAGGCCAATGGTTCCAAATATGTGCCTGGGGGCAGATTAGGGTCATTCTAAAAGAGGTGGACCTGGTATAGTTCTGATTGATGTAAATACAGTTTTAATCTGTACACAGTGAGTTCCTCTACAAGATCAAGATAAAGTTTGATGGATCATTCCAAAGGATTTCTTACTAAGGATTAAGTATGCCCCGTATCATTAACAGAAATTTCTTAAGAGCAGAATCCACAGGCCCCTCTTAAGTCCCCAACACGCTTTGCACATGGAAACTACCTACTAAAGCTTCCATGAATCTCACTTGAATCATGTGCCCAAACTAACCACAAGCCATTAAGCCCTCTTTTAAATGAAAAAGTGTTATCAATAACAAATGAATAGACTTCATTCAACTCTTTCTGATCGCGAGGTCTTCTATAAAAAAACACATACCTTTATTTTTTTCCCTTCAGTTATTTAATCCCTCCTCTTTCTTTTAATATATACCATTGATCCTATGGGTATCACTGTAGCTCAGATCTTCCTGTTCTACTAGATCAGAGGATCTTAACTTGAGGTCCATGGTATAGAAGACAGACTGTGGAAGTAGAGATAAGAGCCCAGAAGCAAGAAAGCAGCACTGATTTCAAGCTGGCATGAGTCTAGAGAACCCTGATACACTGATGAAAAGCAGCAGATGCTGGAGGAAAGACACACAAAGTTGACTCTGCACCAGGCATCAGTCTGGGTACCAGGGGAAAAGCAGGGAGCAAAATTCCTTCCCTCGTGACCTTCCCTTCTGATGGGGACAACAAGCGGCTAACAAACAAATGAATACATATTATGTCAGATGGTTGAGTGCTATGGAGACCAATGAAAGAGATAAGGAAGTGAGTTTTGTAAATTGCTATTTTTTTTATAGGATGGTCAGAGACGGCCCTGCTGAGGAGAGACCTGATGGAAGCAGGAGGAAGAATCTGCTGTTACCTGGGGAAGAGCTCGGAGGCAGGGGAAACCACTGAAGCCAATGCCCGAAGGCAAGAAGAGGCTTGCTTGGATCAGCTCCAGCAGCAGAAAGCAAGGAGGTCAGTGTGGCTGGAGCAGGAGGTGGGAAAGATCAAGCAGAATTCCGTGCTGGTGAAGGGCTCACACTTTCACTCTGGATGGGTGTCCATTTAAGACTACAGTCTTTCCCTGATTCCATTCCAGCAGTGTAAGCTGACGGCCCACCGTGTTCCAAGCACCCTGGTAAGCCCTGGTGACATAAACACTAATAAGATCCAGTCCCTCTTTAGGAGACAGATATTTAGACAAATGAATCTATCACAAGGTAGAAAATGGGCAAGTGTTTTTTAGGAGAGATGGGTAGCCTGCAGGGGAACTGAGGTCCCTCTCAGCTTCAGGGAGGAGGCAGTCAGGTCTGGCTCATGGGAATAGTTCCTATATGATGAACCTTGAAGGATGGGTTGAATTTGAATACAGAGATCACTGAGCTACAGAACTTTCTAAGAAAACAAGTGAAGAGATGCAGGTGGAAAAATGCCTGATATTTTCAGACAATTGTGAGACCTGACTGAGATGGAAAATGCTTGAAGGTGAGTAATTGGAAATGGGTTTGGACAAGAAGTTTGAAATACATAGATGCGAGACAGAATTAGCGAAACCTTATTAGCTCTGGGGTACCATACGCCTTCTCTGTCATTTCCAGAGATGCATGTTTATATCCATATATGAAAGATTTCATAGGAGAAAAGTATATACAATGAATATGTAGGAATTAAATCAAACTGTCCTTTGGTGATTTGGTTAAAAGTTTTAAATTAGATCCACTGTTAGAGATAATTTATTATAAACTCGTCCCTCACCCCTCTGACGCTGCACTGATGACGAGGGCGAGTCCTAAAGATTTAATAGGCAATGAAAGGTCATGCTATTAATTCTTGATGAATCAAGAATTAGGCCAATGTCCCATCATTTTCCTACCACATTTCTCTACTCAGCTCTACCAGGCCATTCCAATACTGTACCAAAGTAAAGTGGGGGTGGCACACACTTAGCGCTTCGAATCCAGATCTGTGGCTGTCTTACCGTAACACAGAGATGATATTAATGACTCATCTGATAGTCGCCTGCCATCTGAGTGCAATCTGCCTCCTCAGAATTCTTCTCACATTGTCAGTGGTGACTTAGCTATACTGATGGCTGTAGGCAAGACCTTCCAAATAATTATAGCATCTTCCACCCCTGCTTGCTTCTCTGCAGGACAAAAAAAAAAACAAAAGGAAAAAGAAAAAGAAATCCCTCCACCAAGGAACATTTACTGACACCACACCATCAAGGAAGTTTTGTTCTCTTTTCATTTATTTGCTCAATATTCCTTAACGAGAAGATCCTGAAATCTCTTTCAATAATTGAGCTTAGCAACCAGCTGAACACACGTTTGGATTTTTCAAATTTACTTCTAATGAAAAGCAGGGTTGACAAAGAGCCAGCAGGGATGATCCAATTTAGCCACAAAAGCACATTTTACCTCCTTGCTTGTACCTTAAAGAAAGACTAGAAAGTTTGGAAAAAATCCTTCTGGAGCTTGATGTTTCCTTTAAATTCTGAAAAGAACAAACTAGCTTTAAGACGCAACCTAATTTCTGTCTCCTTCAGGAAACCCTCTGTGAACAAACTCACTCTCCCCAAATCTGTGCTCCCTTGAAATTCTGTACATACCTTTCAGATGGCACTGCCCGTACTGTGTTGTGACAATTGCTGCCCGTGTCTTTTCTTTCCCACCAGGTTCACAGCATCTATCACAGGGGGGACAAAGGAAGGAAGGTATCAAAGATGGGAGGAAGGAAGGAAATGTTTGGGGCACACGTTTTCCAAATTAACCCAAGACACAAATTCTGGCAAAGAATTTCTTGGCTGCTAACTGGTTAAGCATCATGTGAAGAGAAGTAACGTAGGTGTCACCACCAGGATCCCATACACACTGCTGGTCTGTGAAGACACCAGAAAAGAATGTTCTACTTCAAGATTGAAAATCTATGATGCTCACTTACTATGCACACATTACACCACAAACCTGGACAAACGAAAATAACCATGTCATAGATCTATGAATATTTTTACAAAAGCTTATACAGGCACTTCTTGGTCTAGATATATTGTGTTTTACATATTTGATGTACACCTAATTTTATTTAGGCCTCTTAGTGAAATAACACAGTAATGTAATGTAATGTGTGGCAAATATCATGGTAGGTGGGCATCGCGGTACCTAAGACCCTAATTGCTGGTGAAAGACAATGTGCTAGCATCTATCTTTCACTCCCTTGGTTCCTCCATTGCCCGTCAAGTGAGATGCATTTGTGCTGTGTTTGTGTTTTTCTGCATTGCAGCTCCCTTTCTCATATTAACCGCTTGTGATTCCACAGCTACACAGAGCAACGTGGTACAAGCTTCACTGCTAATGATTCTTAATTTATTTAAGCATGGAAAGAAAATCCTAAGACATGCTATAGCCCATCGCTAGCAACCCCGTGGCAGTACAAGGAAGCCGGTTTATCATCTCCAACTTGTTCCCTGTTCACACCACCTCTCACCCTATATACTTACTAAATGAGTCCAGCTTTAAGTAACTATAGATTACAAAGAGGTAGTGATATCCGTCTACAGTGGTTGAAATATCTTCAATCACTTCTGTGACATGACTCTACCGGAAAACTGCTTTGGGCATATTTGGTTTGGGCTAGCATCCACTTTTAAGAATTCATCCACTGGTCATGTCAAGGGACATCTGTACACCTAAGTCTCTGATCTCCAATTCATAGGACGTTGGAATTATATTTGTGTAAGAAATATTAATCAGTGACAAGCCTCACCTTGCCAAATGACTTTAAGAATACTTGGTATAAAGAAATTAATATCAGAAGCTGGACTTAGGTTATTAATTCTCACCAGTAGTTTCCTAGGACACTGAAAAGGTTCTGCAGATGGAGGTACAAAGAAGAACTGTCCCAGGGCAGGAGTGCACGTGATGAAGGCAACATGGACTACACAAGGGAGCAACCGAATTTACACAATTCAGAACCTCAATCCATGAATAGGTTTTGAGCACCCATTATACACTAGAACATGAGCATATATAAGATGATGCAAGGGTATATATAAACATAGGATATAATTATGAGTTCCTTCAGAGTAACTTGAAGGAAGGTATGGGAGATTCAAAGAAATGCTTGACCAGCCTCTTTCAAGAGACTGACTTGGGCTGAACAACATCTTGCAGGAAACTTTCAGGTGTGGCCAGAAGAATCAGGAGCCTTTCACATTGAAGGTATTTACCCACATCATCTGTCTTTTTTGCATTGCAAGTTTCAATTTCCACATGAAGCCATAATTAAAGTATCAGACTTCCCATTATCCATGTTAAATGTCACTCTTCTAGTTTTTTGAGATTTTTTAATGTCTGATTTTAATATAGAACATATTCTTTATTATTCCTTCCATGTTCAAATCATTGGCCACGTTAATGAATAAGTCTTCACCCATCTTAATAAAAAAGATGTTGGCCCAGGCCAGACCAAGGACCTGAAGGTTCTCCATTTCTCCAGGGATCCCTCTTCTGACAGCCACTGCTACAATTTTTGGGTATTATCAACACATCCACCAAACTGAAAACCATCCAGCTCTGTTTTCCTCTTCACTTTAAGGTTCTACAAGGCACCAAGCTCAAAGATGCTATTCCTGTGACAACAGAGTTCTATAAATGGCCAAGATGTGACCCACAAAATGAAATGAAGATGACAGCAATAATCTCAAAGAATATATTATGCTCTAAGTCCTTGGGATCACTATACCTTCCCCTAATTGCTCAACATTTTTTTTCTTTTAATCTATTGAAAAATCAGAAGCATCTTCAAGTTTTCTAAAGCTTTTGGAAATCAAGATACTGGCTCAGTCACCTAGTACCACCTGACTCCCCACCTCCTGCAAACATGGCTGTGAGCATCATAGCCATCCCTTCCGCAGCTTTGCTCCCTAGCTCGGCATCAGGCAGGCCTGCAATTCCATCGGGGCAGAAGGCTCCATCTCCTTTACAGAAAGGTAATACTCCTTTGGAATTGCTTTATCTTGATTGGGCTTCTAGATCCACCTCTTCGTGTTTGTCCCTCTCTTTCCTGCCTTTTTTTGACTACTCATCTGGGGAGAAGTTGAAAGAGGCATTTTATCATTTATGCAGTGGACAACTGACACCTTGCTCTTTGAAAAAAGCAAGCAAAAGAATCAATGACACCAAACATAATGTACCTTAAAAAAAAAGGGTGCTTCAACTAATCGAGTCTAGAAGAACTTAGATGAGTGAGAACATGGAAAGGGGAACATCCTTCTAGAGAGAGTACTTTTGTTGGCAGGAAATTCTCTCTACAGCCGACGAGCCTGTCAACAGAGGAAAAGGGTGGAGGTGGTCCCTCTCAAGACGATTTGAGGAACAAAGGGGAGCAACCAGGTAGCTGATGCAGTGAGAGGGGGCCTCCTGTTGTCCACGCCTCTACTTCCACAGAGGCATCTGCCCTGTTCATCTGTCAGTTCAGCAGAAGCTCTGTGACGGCCAGAAGCCTGGCGGTAAGTCAATATGTTCCCCTTGAGACAAGGAAAATTCCGCAGGTCAGATTCCCTGGGCAAGTGGACTACAAAGAGCACCGCATGCATACAAATGCTGTAGTAAATTAAGATAATGATATTGGCTGTTTATGGTAGATAAAACATAAATCTGTAATAGAAGCATCTAGGAGATTCCAGCGCCCCATGTATCAACATCAGAAAGAGCAGTCATGATTGTTGTCAAGGAAAAAAAAAAAATCCAGGGCCCGGCTAACATTTGGAGATAGAAAGCTTTCATATCCTTCGGTCTTCTTTCCTTTGTGATTTCCACAGGATTTTCATTTCCAGAGATATTATACTACTTGCTTTCAAAGGAATTCAATATTTTCATTCAGAAAAGTAATTTCACAGGAAAGAAACACAGAGCGATGTCCTGGGTATTCATTTTCAGAGCCAATCTTACAAAGTCAATTTGTGCTGCACGGAGCTGGGGCGACATGAAAAGGTGCAGCTCCTGTGCACATGGGTTTCTAGGGTCCTCTTCTCCCTTCCCCTTCCCCTCAGGCAGGACACCCCACAAGCATTTGAAAAAGAACTGCCTGGCATTGAAACAAAAGAGGCTGCCGACTCTCTTAATGACATCACCTGGCGTAACCCAAAGACCGGATCCGAAGCCCAGGACTAGATTATGGCTTCATCCCTTCTGCCCTGGACTGAAAGTCCTGTCTCCACAACCATCACAATCATTCTCTTCCTTTTCTTCAGGTGGTTACAGGAATGAGAGGAGAAAGCAACAAGCCCAAGGTGAAAGACAAGATGGGTTTCTTGCTCGGGTACTTGATTGCAGATAAAAGATAATTCTGATCAAACCCAGACTGAAATCCTTCCAGCCCACATAAAGTCAAGGTTGGGCAGCCTGAGCCAATCAAGTTGAAAGCTGACTGATTTTTTTCGGCAGTGAGTCAGAAACTGACAGAGGGACAGAGGTGGATGGAGGAAGGATGGGGGGAGCGAAGAAAGGAGGAGAAAAGCACCCCCTCAACCCCAACTGGGGTGAACAGATGGACTGACAGAGAGAACGAGAGACAGAGATGGAGGGGGAGAAAAAGAAGCATTTCCTTTTCCTTCTCCTGTTCCTTGACATATTTCAGGGTCCAAAAGAATCAAAACAGATCTCCAAGTTTTTCAGCAGACATTGGGGTGATGGAACCCCAAAGTCCAGTTGCCGATGGACCTTTTTCCTGATTTTTTTTCCCCCAGCCAGCCGCATGCCCTAACCTTGAGGATGCTGTTTATTCCTGGGGGCGAGATAAGCTGGCCAGGCCGGGCCCCAGCCCCCATCGGAGTCCGGTGGGCATTCCCAGCCAACAAAGGGAGAGCCCTGTTCAGCAACAAGCATTTGGTTTTGATTAGCGGATATTCAGGGACTGTGCAAGTTCTATTAAAATAAGCACAAAACCATTTTAAAGGGCTTTTTCTTTTCTTTCTCCTTCCCCCCCTCGGTTTATATTGTTAATCTTTCTTCCTGGACGGCTCCTCACAAATGCCTTTTGTTTTCTTGTGTGATCCTACGTGCCAGGACTCTGAGAAGGCAGGACGGAGGTCCTGTCCTGGCATGCTTTCAAGTCTCTTCCATAGGAGATGAAGGCTTGTTGCTGTGCCTTCAAGGGTATAAATTTAGGGGCCGCCAAACTGTCCGGAGGTAATTCAAACGCTGGTAAATGTTGGAATCCACCCTGGCCCCCTGCTCATCTGAATACCCTGGCACTTACCCCACTCGGAGGAAACGAAACCAATTTGGGAAAGCGAAGAGAGAATAAACATGCAATTAAAATGGTCATTTCTCCTGGTTTCTTCCTTTAGTTCTTTTTTTAACACTGCATCCCCTTCTAGAATCTGATGATGAAACGGGCCTGGTTAATTATAACAACATACAAAAGATCGCCGTCTTTTCCCCACAGTGACTAGGGCAGCTTTGAATATATATACATATACATATATATATATTATTTTTTGGTGAGGGGTGCTGGGGGTGGTGAGGAATGGGGAGAGAGGTGGATACACTTCAAGCAAAGCCGTCATTTTGGAAGACCCGCTGTTTTTAGATTATTTCAAACCCTTGGCCAGGGTGAACATTACAGAAATGGTGCTTTCCTTTCAATTTCTCTATCTTCCTCTTTTATACAGAGATAGACAAATA